GGAGTAGAAAATGTAAATTTGATATAAATATATATGAATTGTTAGTTAATTAATTGATATAATGCTAATTAGAGGGACAGTCATGTGTGGAGTATTTGGTCACACAATAAAACAATTAATAAACACCACATTTTGCCAAAAAAACATTCCAGGATAATAGTGATGGAACAGTTGGTTACTCTACCCATTGTATTGAAACGAAGTATTTTATTTCTCAAGAAAGACATTTTCATTGAAGACGACTATTATATAAAAGGAGTCAATTTTTATTACAATCACACCATGTATTTGATCCCAATTCTCAGGAGGAATAACAATAATAATCTACCCATTAATGAGATCGAGGGTTATTTGAATGAAACGACGGCCGGCTTTGCATTCAATGATTACTTCTATTTGTTTGCCGGCAATCGTGTCTGTCGTATGCATAACAAGACTCTTCAGTTTGCGGACAATTGTTTGAATCAAACCATCGCTCAATGGATGGGTTGTAAAGACATGCCATTAATTCTCAATAAAAACAGTAATTATGAAATTATGTTAATATTTGTTGTTATAATTGCTGTTATAATAGCACTAATTGTATTTAAACTATATTTTCAATCAGAAATTTCCAAAACTCCAAAAGTTATTATCCGCCGAAGACATAAAACAAGTGATCAAAAGACAAACACTTTGCTCACTAAATCTACTGAAAAGTTGTCGAAAACACAGTCAACGTCGACATCAGTGGATGAGAACAGACCAACAGATCTCAAGATTAAAAGTATTTCAAAATTTGTTAAGTAATTGCTTTATAGATCAGATATAAAGCAATTGATGAATAGGAGACGTGAAAAGTAGAATCTAATGTTAAAATTTTATTATCCATTATTTATTTATTAAAATTTAATTAATATTTTATATGATTTTTTATTACGATATTATCAATATTTAAGTTTTATTTTTTGTTTAATAATTACAATAATGAATTAATAATGTTTTGAATTTTATTAAACTATAACTATTTCTTTTATTTAATAATTAATAATAATTAAAACTTATTATCATACAATCAGATGAACGTGAAAATAACGTTATATTTGAATTTTTATAATAATTTATGTAATTAATTTAACCGTTTATTTGTTTATCATTTAAAATACACGGAATTATTACAAATTCATTACCAATAGTTGTTGTATTAATGTTTGCTTTATTATCAAAATATTTATCACTTGAAAATGTTTCCAATTTTGATCATTATTTGTTTAATATCTACCATTAATTGTGAAATAAATTGTGATTTAATAGCAACTAATGGTATATATATTGGTGTAAAAATGCTTACGGCGCTACGACCGAATTTTATTATTGGAGACTATATATATTCCGATTATTATATGTATTCTAAATATAAGTACTGGGGATTTAATATTACAAACGGGACGATACCCGTAGTATTAATAAATGGTTCTGATATTATTCTTGTCAATGGTTTCTTCGCTTTAATCAACTCGACCGCAGGTTATACTAGATATGCTTGTTATACATATTATAGGGTATGAATAGTATATATGAATTGATTTGATTTATAATAATAAATGTTTAATAACAGGATTATCCACGAAATACAGCTATTTATACCAAATGCTGGCATCAATTGTCTAACGAAGTAGCCAAATACTATACGGATTATGAGACTCAATACAATCCAAAGGCTGTCATATTTAATCCGACGGTTTATTCACAATATTCAATTGTGTTAAATACAAACGACCGGTCGGTTCAGATATTGAGTGCCGCAGATGTCGGCGCAGTTCCCGCTGTCGGCCAAACCGATCCATACAATACTAGTAGACCGGGAGGTGTGAAGATTACCGATGAATGCAATTGCGATGAACCGCATAAGTGTCGGAGACCTAAGTTTGTGAACCAAATACCCGATCACTTACTCAAACAACTCGAGGGTATCGTTGCCTATCATATTAATCGGATAGATAACGGACATATTCTGTGGTTTAACATCTCAGGTCAGCCCCGGTATTGCTTTACACCTCAAAACAAACCGTTATCCGAAGAGGTAATCAATCAATTTATATAAATTATTAAATAAATTTTGTATTTAAATAAAATTCATATATTTTAGTGCAAAAATGCAGACAAAATGATTGCATTCGCGGAGCAGTGCTTCAAATCCCAAATCAAACCCACAGTTTCTGACGATTCTATGACTGAATTGTTGATTGCATTTGTAATTGTGTCCATATTTGGTGTCCTTCTTTTGGCATCAATTGTAGTGATGTTATGCCAGAGGAAAGCCCGAAATGAAGGACAGGGGAAGGAGGGGAGCACTGAACAGGATTTGAGTGTTAAAAGCGATTTGTCGGAAATAATAGACAATACGAAAGTAAATAAGAAACAAAAACTGTTTTAATTATTTGTGTATTTTATTGTATATTTATTTTACAAAATTTATGTTAAAATTTTGTTTAATATCTCAGATCAATACCAAAGACAAGACATCTGTTTCGAAGAAAGCAACGAATGAATCGCAAACTGAACCACAAGTTTACCGAAGATCTAAATCAGAGCCTCAAATGTCTATCCCTTCGGACATCAAATCCATTGCCAAAACATCGGCCATAAGTCCAGTCATCTCCTCGACTATGGATGACAACCGACCGACTGATCTGAAACTGAAGAGTAATACAAAGTCTGATAATTAACAGACTTTCAGATTAGGAAATTGTTGATAGATTAGAGTTTTATTTAATTTTTATACTAGTTTTCACTTTTTAAATGATTTAAATATAGATATTATTAGTTATTTTTATTATAAATTGTATCGCATTTTTTCTATTTATTTATTAATACAGCAATTCTATTAAAGATATGCATATTTTCTAAATTAAAGCATTATCTATTATTTTTACTTAAATTTAGGTTAAATCTACTTAAAACACAAATGAATTATTAATTTGAATATTTATTTATATTCTGACAAATTGTTTTTATATTATTATTATTAAATTTAATTTAGACACTATTGGTAACAGTTTAGACTCATTAACACTAATATCGTTAATGTTTACAAAAATTTTATTTTTTTAAATCAATTAATTTGTTATTTATTACTATTTACAACACTAATGAAAGAAATCATTGTTTAAATTTAATTTCAAATTATAATTTCTGTTTTCAATTCATATAAACAAAAATTCGTTGAGTTTTGACTATATTTCTATCATTGCATCCAAACTCTAAACACAAATGAATTTCAATTTTATCAAAATTACGACAATTTTAATACAACTATTGGTTGTAATAAAAGCATCGGTCAGTGATTTTGAACACAAATTTTTTAAAATTAAAATCTAAATTAGATATCAATTACAGAATCAATTGTGTGATCCGAAGATATCAATCGATTCGGCATTTGTGGACATATACTCTGATTTGGGATCAGATGTCATCACTTTGTTCTCCAACACAACTGTCCATCAATTGACTATCGATTCAAACGAAACGATTCAATACAAGAAATCCATACCATTGAAAGAGTGGTCAACAGGTATTTACAGTCCCATAAATAGTGTATTATATGTGAATTACGGAGAAATAATTTCATTAGAAAACGTAAGTTTTGTATAAATTATATAAATTATTAGATAATTGAATGATTTGTTATAATTAGAAAAAGTCTAGTATTAAATGGGAAATATGGTCACAGAATAAGACAATAAAACATCAAAAGAGTATAATTTCTCCGTCAGATTACAAAATAATAGCAATGGAACAGTTGGTCGCTCTACCCATTGGACTAAAGCGATACATATTAAATATGGAAAATGACATTCTCTTGAATTCTTATTATTATACCAAAGGATCAAATGATACTCGTTTTAAGTCAATGTATTTGATGTCAGAAATCCAGAAGTGAGGCAACAATAATGTGTCCATCGATGACATCGAGACATATTTGTCACAAACGACGGCCGGCTTTGCATTCAATGATTATCTCTATTTGTTTGCCGGCAATCGTGTCTGTCGTGTGAATAACATTACTCTTCTGTTTGACGACAACTGTTTGAATCAAACCATCGCTCAATGGATTGGTTGCGAAGACAAGACATTAGATCCCAATTCTGGAAATTCTGAGATCGTATTCTTGATTGCATTCGTAGTGCTGTTCATAATTGGTGTCACTTTTTTCATATCAATTATAGTAATGATTAACCGGAAAAGAAGCCAATCGGTTCCCGAGAGCGTAAAGACCGAATCAACTGATTTGAGTGTTGACAGCGATTTGTCTTAAATAATCAGAGACACATCCAAACGGTCGCCGCCCACGGAGTCTAAGGCTAAATAACTTATTATTTATAAATGTTATGGCATTTTAATTGCTATGAATTTTGTATTATTTTATTATTGGTTTTTTCAAGTCATATTTATTTAAATATGTTTTTAATTTTCAATCTTTATAAATACTGTTAATGTTTTATTCGGTATTTAGTCAAACATTTATGTTAAACCAATTAAATTGATTTTAAAGTTAAAAGTTTACTTATTTAAATAAGATATATTAAAATTTATAATAAAAAACTCAGTGAAATATTAATTAATTAATATTTACTAATGAAGTATACTTTAGTAAAATAAACAGAATAAAGGTCTGTAACACTGTAAATGTCTATAAATACACAAATAGTCTATTTAATAATATATATATAATTAATTAACCTTAATTAAATGTAATCATGATTTTGTGTGAGTCTTCATATGTGCGTCCATTTGACCACATTTTGATGTCTTATAATCACATCCCGTATGAGAGCACTGGTAGTCATCCAAACCCTCGTGTTGTCTATGGATATNCTTTTATAATAGTTTTATTTATTATTAAACATTCATCATTAATTTATATGTTAAACAATAAAATATCATAAATATACAATTAAGTCGGATGCGATTTGTGGTCTTATAGTCACACTCTGGCCAATGGCACCGGTAGTCAGCCAACCCTTTATGCACTCTATGCACATGCATTTGTAAAGAGTTTATATTAGTGTAAGTGTGTCCACAACCGGGCCATTGACAGGTGTGCTTAACGGTAGCCGTATGTGTGTTCATGTGATCTCTTAAGACAGATTTCATGGCAAAGAGTCGGCCACACTCTGGCCATTCGCACCGGAATTTCAACGCGTCGTTATGTCTGCGCTTATGTGTCCGCAATAACGTATTGCTTCTGCACTTTAGGCCACACGAGTCGCACGCGTATGGCTTCGGGTGTGTCTTCCGGTGTTGAAAGAGTGCCGCGCGGGTGACCGCAGTGTACGGACAACCGGTTTGCGGACATTTTAACCTCTCTTTAAAGTGTAATATTTGATGGCCTCTGAGATTTAGTGTGACTGAGAGTGTGAATACTTGATTACATCCGTCTATAAGACACACGAATCGGCCGTCGGATCTCTTCTTAAACACGAGTGACTTCTTTGCCGTTGCGTTCAAATGTTTAAATTGATACTTAATTGTATATTTATGATATTTTATTGTTTAACATATAAATTAATGATGAATGTTTAATAATAAATAAAACTATTATAAAAGTTGTAAAAAAGAATAATAAATGTTATGTTAAATTGTTAATCATTTTGTGTGAGTCTTCATATGCTTATCCATTTCTGTACACCTTTTGCTCTCATAATCACATCCCGGATGAGAGCACTGGTAAGCCTTCAAACCCTTGTGGCCATTGATATGACTATGAAGTCGGACCCGATTAGTGGTCTTATAGTCACATCCGGGCCAATGACACCGATGTTCAGCAACTCCTTTATGCACTCGTCTCTCGTGCATATGCAGTGATAAGGAGAGTGAATAGGTTTTGTCACAACCGGGCCATTGGCACCGGTATGCGGGGCCTGAGTCCGAGTGTTGGGCCTCCATATGTAATCTCATAGCACCAGCCGATTGGAACCTCCGATCACAAACGGGCCATTCGCACGGCGTTTTCAGCTCCCAGTTATGTGTCTTGAGATGTCTTTGAAATATACATTTGTTGGCAAAACTGTTACCACAATCGGTGCACGTGTTAGACATCGTATGACAGACGGCCTCGTGTCCGGCCATATCGGGCGCGTATTTGGTCTTAAACTCGCAGTCCTCGTGCAGACACTCGAGCCACGGTACGGTCGCCGCCGCGTCCGGGTGTGCGCGCATGTGGTGTGCGTTAAGCGCCTTTCGTTCGGTAAACCGTTTGGGACAACCGGTGGCCGAGCACTGGAACTGTTTACGGGCCTCTGTGTGTCGACTCTTCACATGACTCGATAGCTCGCACTTCGATCCGGCGCTAAAATTGCAGCCCTTCTGCGGACACTGATAGTCCGACCGGTGAACGCGTTGAGTGTGTTTCCTAAGACTCGACGGGAAGGCAAAAGTGGCCAAACAGTTGGCCTCTTCGCAGTGGAAGCGGACGCCCGAGTGTGTAGTCATGTGTCCATTTAATGCGGTTCTATCGGCAAACCGTTTGCCGCATCCGTTGTGTTCGCACACATACTGTGGTTCAACGGATTGCTTCAAGGCTTGGATCAACTGTTCGGATGAGTGGGTGTCGGTGTGAATGTCAAACACATCACGTGTTATGGCCTCAAAGTCGCAGCCGTAGTGCCAACACGTGAACGGCTGTCGAGACGTGTGTTCGCCGTCATTGGTGTGCTCTTCGAGCTTACTTTTGGACGGGAAGTGTTGTGAACAGCCCTCAGACTCGCAAAACCATCGGTGGTCTAAATGTTTGGAACTCTGGTAGTGTTTCTTAAGAACAATGAGTGATATATAAGCTTTGCGACAGTCCTTGTGATGACAGATATAGTTTCGTTTGTATTGTGTATTTCGATAGACTTTCTTCGGTTTCCGATCGGTGTCTGACTTAAGGCCTGTCTTTCTATCTGTGGATCTGTTTTTGGTTTCAATTATTCTCTTGTTTTTCAATGATTTGGGTTTTGGTTTAGTTTTGGACCACTTTTTTGCTAAACTTTGTTTTATATCACTTTTGGATTCGCTTCGAGTCTTATCTCTGGTCTCCTTCTCCTCGCCATTAGTTTTCTCATTCAAGTCTGTATTGAAACCATTGTTGTCCTCAATATCTTCGCCATCACTTCCGACTACTGTTTCATCATTTGATTCGTTACTAATCTGACAATCGATGCCATCATTTGATTCATTGTCTTCAGAGTCGACCACTTCTTCAGCGCTTGTCTTCTCTCTATTGTCTTGTGTTTCATGTCTTGTATTGTCTTCTCTTTGAATCAACTCTTC